ACATGGGGGTGGGAGGGGTGGGGTCTGGTTAGGCTAAGTCATATACTGGGGTAACTAGAGGATCATCAGGCTGCCTGGGCCCTGGGAGCCATGGATGTGGTTCTCCCTCAAAATCTAGGTGCTGCCTAAGGAGGGGCAGGGTTCAGAGCACTGGTTGGAATCATTTGACATAAAACATCCCCTTCCTCTCCTCCAAGACAGAAAGAGCTACAACTCTGTTTACTCAAGTGCAGGAAACTGCCCAAAGTTCCTTTTCCAGTAAATTCAGTAAACATGTATTGAGCACCTACTATATCCTAGCATTGTTCTAAGTGCTGGGAACTCAGGAATGAACATGACTAATACGGTCACTATAAGCTCATGGAGCAGAATATAAGCAAAGAATAAATAGTAATTGAAAAATAAAATTTTGCTCGGCCGGGCGTGGCTCAGCAGTTGAGCGTCGACCTAGGATCCAGGTGATTGGGGTCCGATTCCCGGTCAGGGCACATGCCTGGGTTGCGGGCTGCAGCCGATCAATGACTCTCTCATCATTGATGTTTCCATCTCTCTCTCTCCCTCTCCTTTCCTCTCTTTGAAATCAATAAAGATATATATTTAAAAAAAGAATTGTTTGAAAGAAAAATAAAATTTTAAGTTTTTTTACAAAAATATATGACTAGGCCTTATAAAAATATCTTTTATGAAAATTTAGAAAGTTGTTGGAAACTACCTACTTTTTATCTTAAATAAAAACCTGGAGTATGTAAAAAGGAAAGAAACAATAGAGATGATAATTTCAGATAAGTGCTATAAAAAATAAAAGAAAAACAGGGTGATGCCATAGAAACTGTTGGGTTGAGAATCTCCAAATATGAAGATGGATAGCAAGTGGAGGAGTGGGAAGAGATTTGTAGCAAAGTTGAAGCGGAATTCTGCAGAAGCTGGGGGTGCAGCGAGGGGTGACAAAAGGCGGAAATAGTTGAGTTCCCCTTTATGGAACAATTAGATCCTCCGTTCCAGTCCATCTCACCCTCACAGGAGAGGGGAGTTATGTCTTCTCTGGGGAATTTAGAGGAGGGAGGGTATGTGTGAAGGGGTTCAGGGGCAAATAGTATACAGGGGACTGAGTCAGAATCTGAACACTAATGTGAATGCATTCTTCCCCAGACCTTTTTCCATTTCTGCACCATTTGACCTTCAAAAGATTAAATGCACACAAAAATACAAATTAATTTCTTTTGAAATATTTTTTAAACTCTGAATCATAATGAAAAAAAATAGCCAGGAATATATAAACTGAAGCAGCTGCTGGCTTGGTCCCCCTGCACACCTCCATCCCCTCGCACACACCTCCCTAAGGAAATGGTAGGAGAGGCAGAACTTTACCTCCACCCTCTTAGGGTCTTTGCTGGGCCTCAGAATTAAATTGACATAAGCAGACAGATGAACTTAATATAAGTTTTATGTGAGATGGAGTCCTTGTAAAAAAATGAAGACCCAGAGAGTTGGCAAAACCTAAATGCTTTTATAAACTCTAACTGGAGGGAATTGTGAAAAAGTGATAAATTATATGGAAAGACTAAAGGAAGATAAGAATTATTTGAACAAGATCTATTTGTATGGAATTGTCTCAGTCTCAACTTCCTGTCTTGATAAAAATGTTAATTTCCTTCTGGTATAGAAAAGGCATCTTCCATTGTGGGTTTTATCTCCTGATTTTAGAGAGAAAAGGGGAGGGTCAGAGTGTCCTTCTTGTACCTGCTGTTTTGTGTGTTTTTTTAAGTGCCCTTAGCTCAAAAATAATTTTGATGTCAATTTTGAGGCCTATTGTGGGGTGACATAATCTGGTGTGCGTCAAAATCATGCTTATCATTCAAAGTAAACAAGCACACTTAAATAGTGTCCTTGGCATCTCCACCCCTTCCCCGTTAACAAAAGGTGTCATTCAGTCGATGTGTCACTGAAGAAACTGGGTCCTGTGCCTGCAGTAGGGTTGGGTTCCAATTCTCTGAGCCTCTGAGGTGAACTGTTAAGGAAGTAGGAATTTTTAGAAGCAGAGAGATGTGACGTTTTGCATGTAAATTTATTTGGCTCAGTTTTCTTGGGTGGTGAAACTATTAGCAAACCCATGATCATAAGTGATTTTCATTTTTTTTAAAAAGGTAGATATAATTCAAAAAATAAAAAAAATTACATTTGAGTGAAAGAGGAAGTAAAATTTTATTCAAAGCAAAATAGGACTACAGTTGCTTTCAAATAATAGGAGTGAAAACACTTTAACAGTCTTCACACAGCATATATTGTTCACGTGATACACACAGGTCAAGGTGTTTGGCTCATGCATGCAGATGCTTCAAAATCTTAACTACAGATCAGTTTTCTCTTCGTTCCAACCAGCATCACCTGGGTAGCCCAGCTCTCCTTACTGTGTATACTTGAAATAAAATGTATTTTTTTGTATTGTCTAGTAAAGAAAGGCAAAATTNNGATAGATAGATGATAGATAGATAGATAGATAGATAGATAGATGATAGATAGATAGATAGATAGATAGATAGATAGATAGATAGATAGATAGATAGATGGAAATTGCTCCTTTTACAAGAAAATTTTTAGAGGGAATCTTGGGATGTAAAATACTATACACCTGACCCCAGGCCTTGCTCTGGAAGAAATGGAAGATACAAAAAGGAAGCTAAATAAATGAACTGATTTGGAGTATCTGCTGGTAGACCAGAAAGAGAGGCAGTTTGGGGAACAGGGAGAAGAGAAAGACAGAGGAAACAGCTCAGTTACTGGGAAAGACCAAAGCTTGAGGAATAGCCAGCTAGTGAGAAATTCCTGGAGTCCAGGTGGGGTCGGGGGGACTTTCAAATAATTCCCTGTGATGCAGTACACTGGGACCACCCCCGATTACTCATCTCTTCCAAAACATCAGAGAAAGAGTTATTCAAGCAGCAGGATTTTGAAATGTTACCCGATGTGGCTCCTGTTCCCAGCACTTCTACTTTCTTTCCCTTCCCCACTCCCCATTTCCTCAGCCACAGCAGCCCACCACGACAAGAAAGAGGGTTATAGCAGAGCTAGGGGTCAGATTCTTGGCTTGTGACTTTTAAGATCTCAGGATTTAAAATATTATGTCCTTAGTCAAGTCCTCTTCTTTCTGCCCATATCCCACCATTCTCCAGAGAGTCTCCAGACTAGGGAAAAGGAGAGTCAGAGAGAAATGAAATGAAACTTCTCTTTAGGGTCTTTAGATGTAGCTCTGCTCCATCCCCAGACCAGCCCTGGTGGGAGGTTGGGGATCTAAGAGCAACGAAAAGCAGCATCTTGCTTTTCGGGTGGGCAAGTCCCCACAGGATGTGGGTAGGGATGTCTGTGGTGCATCAAGGATGGCAGGCCTAAGGCAGCTTTGCTGAACCCTGCGACTCCCCAGGTGTCGCAGGACTCAGCAGAAGGTCTTCCTCACCAGCCTTGAGTAGCA